ATACATTAAAGAAGTTCCAAAGTAAGTTGCCCTGTGCTGCAGATTCCCAGATGAACTTTTAATTGTTCCTGCTGAGGGTCTGTGTGTGTGTGTAGAATAGCATACAGCCTTAGTTCTCTGGAAGTTCTTCCTGTGGCTTTTTACTGCTGAGTGTGACATTATCTGGTGTGTGGTATCTCAGGGGAATTTGAGTCAGCTGTCCCAGCACTTCTCCCTCTCTACTTAGTGATCACTCTCACCCTAGTGTCTTTGGTGTGGGGAAAGGAGAAGGCCTTGAAGCTGGGCAAGCACTGTTCTGTGATGCCCAAGTATCAGTGTGTTTATCAGCACTGTTTTAGCAATTAATGCAAAACACAGCACTACAGGGACTGCTGGGGAGAAAGGTAATTCCATCCTTGACATGGTGAGGACAATACTGAATAAAAGAAGCTGCACTTAACTCAGGAAGAGTGAAGTAGAAGGAGCTGGAGGTAAGAGTAATATTTAGGCAGTTATTCTTCTGTTTCATCTTTGTTCATGGGCAGTAGGGCTCTGCTTTTGGCAGCTGTCAGAATGCTGGATGGGATGAGCCTCCAGTCTGACTCAGCACATTATGGTTGGTTGTTGCTTTTGTGATTTATTTTTGGTTATGTCTTGTAATGTACACGTTTGAGTAAGTGTTTAAAAATATGAATGTTTTATTGATTAGACCTCTGAAGCTTGTGTGACCTGATGGACTAAGGATTCTTTTTAAGGAAAATACTCCTTATCTTCTGAAATAACCAATGTCCCTGTGTATTTCCAGGAACCAGCGACTTCCAGGAGTTCACCCCACAACTCCCAACAAGTTCAAGAAGTACAGCCGCAGGTCCTGGGACCGGCAGATCAAGCTGTGGAAGATAGCACTGCATGCCTGGGATCCTCCTGCTGAAGAAACCTGGGATCTGCAGCCCGTGTACGTTCTGTGGGTGAATTAAGTCAGGGCTTAAGGAATTTAAGGAGGGCTCTGCAGTTCCTTTAGAGCATTCCTGCCTGGGAGAAAAAAGATCAGACTCAACAATGGGAGTCTACTTGAATGCTTTGTTTGCCATTAGAATTCCGTTAGATTTCAAGATATTGCAGTTATTTAGTCTAAATTAATCTGCAGTCAGGTGTTATGGGGAGAAAGGCTTTTGATCTGCCTGCAGTAGCACATTGCCTTCCCCTTTGTATTTACACTGGTGGGCCCAAGGTAATGTTACTTTTCTGGAAAGGGAAAGACACAAGCAGAAATTTGGTGATTCCTGTTCCTTGTCTTGGATAACTTTCCATCTTTCCTTTTCCTGAAATCAGTGGAGCCACATGTCTCCTACACTGACAATATGTGAGAGGATGTGACGTGTTTAAGAAAATGAGAATGTAATTTCTGTGCTCCCTGCAGGATGGTGGCTACTGTGTTCAAGAAGCAAATATTTTTATCTTTTCAAAAGTTGCATTTCTGTATTAAGGCTGGTTCTGCTACTTAATGCCACCATGTGCTTTACATGATTTGGACTAGTAAGAGGAGAAGAGTGAATGGAATTCTCTTAGCTGTGTTATTGCACTGTGTGAATAGTTTTACCTGTGCTGTAATTGACCAGTGGTAGAAGTTGCAGTGTTTATGCCATTTGGGTGTCAGATGAACTGTTAATTCTTACTGCAGCTGAGCAGTTTTCTGTTTGGAGCAGTAAGCCAGATGGATAGTTTTATAAAGCTTTTTTTTTTTCCCCCTACTGTGTTTAGTAGTACAGAACCTTCAGGTAGTTCCCAGGAATGGTTCTGCAAAGATGAGGATGTTCCTGGCTCCTTTGTGTTTGAGGAAAAGCAGAAGAGAAATGAGTGTGAAGATGAATGCAGACAGACTGCCTACACACCTGAGAGGTACGAGAGCAAACTTCTGTGCTTAGGGAAAATAAATTATACAGGTCAGTGCTGTCAGGTTTTTGTAGGAAATGTTTAGTGTGGAAGGGCAGTTAATACTCAGCTTTGGAGTTTGACACTTTTGCTGTTGAATGTAATCCATCAGTGGTACAGAGCACTAAATATGGAAGAATTACCAGCATTACTGAATTGCATGATTGAACAGAAGCAGGTGTGGAAGGGCAGTTAATACTCAGCTGGAGTTTGATACTTTTGCTGTTGAATGTAACCCATAGTGGTACAGAGCACTAAATATGGAAGAATTACCAGCATTACTGAATTGCATGATTGAACAGAAGGAAATGCAGCAGTGTTTTTCCAGAGTCTCAGTTTATACAGCAGAGTACTGAGGTTTCTTTAACCATTGCTGCAGTGTTCTGAAAGTAGGGGAGCTTTTTCAGGAGCAGGAGTCCCCATCCTGCCTATTACTGTGCCTGTCTGCAGCTCAGCAGGGAGACTGACTGTGAGATGCACTTCCCTGTTTGCTGAAATATCTTGTCCTGGGGGGATGTGTGTGAAGCTCAAAATGGTTTTGCTTCCAAAATGTGAGAGATTTGCTTTGAGTTCCTCTGTGTGACTGAGGAATCATACCCCAAAAGAAATCATCCTCAGCAGCATATGCAGTTATTTAGCAGAACAGTGATTAACATGTAAACATAGATCAGAAATGTTACGTGTATAAAATCTGTTTTTGTAGTTCCTGTTCTCCCAATTCTTCTCCAGTCTGGAAACGCAGAAGAAGAAACGATTCTGACTCCTCTGTGGTTTCAGAGAGCAAAAACCATCATCTGCAGATGCACCACACACTGGAAAGGTATGAAATGATTCTGCATGTGGGAAATCATTGATACTATGAACTGACTTCTGGAACATGACTTTGTTAATAGCTTTAATTAAAGGGAATTTTAGCAATTCCCTTTGTTAATAGCTTTAATTTTATCTAGATCTGTGCAGTTTAATGACGGAGATCATGTCAGAATAATTGTGCTGTTTGATAGCAGATATTTACAGTTCTCTATTGCAGTGTGTCAGAAGACCCAGCACAGGTTGTATTTTGGGTGTAGTTTTAGGCAACGCTAAGGCTTTTGGCAGTTTAGTAGACATTTCATACTAACCTTAGTAAAAGTGTTCCTGCAGGTATCTTTTCTTCTCTCTGCTTAGCCTCCCTCTGAAAAATTGAGGGGAACTGTGTTGTCACAGTGCATGGATTCAGACATTTTCATTTTCTTTCCAGCCTTACTGACTCAGAACATCAGGATGCTTTTTCAAAGTGCTCAGAGTGGGAAGGCTTTGGTGAAAAAGATGAATTAATGACAGTACAACCAAGTATAGAAATAACAAGGTAAATGCCCCAGTGATTATGTTGTTATTTCTGTGTGTTGATTATGCTGTAAAGGTGTCCTTTCCTTTTCTTTTTCATCTTTTCTTTCACTGGTTGCTACTACTTTTTTTTTTTTTTTTTTTTTTTGCCTTCTTGCATTTCCTCCAGCACGTGGTGTGCTTGGTCATTATTTCTGTTCTTTGAGTTTACTTGGCTTTTTCCAGTCTGACTCTCCATCTGTTGCGTTCTGGTGCCTCTGCCATCCCAGGTAATGCTGGAAAATGAGGAGCCCCTTTGAAACTCTGTCTTGTAGAAAGAATTGGAAGCTTGCCTCTCACTTCTCAGCCTAAGAGCTGGAAGCTTCCTCTCTGTCTCCCCAGAGATTAAGTTGTTTAACACAAACAACCAAAGAGTTGTTTGTTTTTATGCAGTGACTCGATTCCAGCCAGTTGTTCTTCAGGATGGAACGGTCCAGAACAGGAGAAATCCAGCTTCTTTCTGCCTGACAGCAAGACTTGCAGAGATGCAGACTTCAGGCTGGAGAGGTATCAAATGCAGCTCATCAGCTTGGGTTTGAGGGGTATTTTTGCATATTATTTTAGTAGTTTAGTTGCTTTCTTGCTGTAATTCGATTGAAGCATTTATTATAAACATTTGATTTTTAATTTTTATTTAGGTATTTTTTACTATTTGTCTTAGGGATGTATTGATCAATTTTTATATGTTGTGTGGTGAAATTCTCTCTTTGTTTTCTTGTTATAGTCTTTGTTAATGTAAATGGATTGTAGCTGTATTTAGTATTCAAAAGTTACCATAATAAAGCCACTTAGTCTTTGGTTTTTGGCTTTTTTATTTGTAGGCTTAATCTTTGTGGCAGTTTATTGGATGAACATCAGTCAGAATACCCTGATAGAGGATGGCAAAGTGCCAATGCTGAAGATGCAATACTGAGGAAAAAAATCTAAATACCAAGGTGAGTTTTTGCTGACTACTTACTTGATTTGTTCTCTTTCAGTTGCCCATCCACAGTATAATTCTGCAGAGTGCAACTGTTCAGTTCAGGCAGATCAATTTTTCTTTTATTTTATTAAGTGTTTTATCCTATTCTCTTGCACTTAATACAGCACCTTAATTAAAAGACCTAGCGCTTAAGACTTGCTAAGTTAAAGTGTTACCTTTCAGCCAGAAAGTGTTTTTATCTCTCAAATGAAAAGTGCCAGTTTTTTTTTAAAGTATTTCAAAAGCATCTTTTCTGTCTCTTAATGTTTTTATGATGAAATAACAACTTGGCATTTGCAGCAGTAGATTGTAGTTCAAATTTTCTTTTGGACTGTAGATTCCTGTGGTGCATTAATAGGATGGGTGGTAATCTGGGTCAAAAAGATTTTATTAGCAGTTAGTCTTTTGTGTAATTAGATTGTCTTTGATCTACATTTGATGCCATTTGATGCAGGCTCTGAAACATGGACTAGGATATAAATGTCTGTTAATCAGTGATCTTTGAAAATTTTGCCTTATAAAACTTTTTAAGAACATGGTCAAAATTAATTAACATGGCCAAAATTAAAATCTAAGTTTTACACTTAGATTTTGGATTATAGCAATGTGAGGAAAAGGCAGCTAGAGCTTTTAAAAAATTATGCTGATTACATTTTTCTTTTGACTCTATTGATTTTTAATTTAAATTCTTTGAACATGAATAAGATTTAACAGACTTTCACTTTTTAAAGTGCTAATTCAATATTTGAAAATATCTAGTCTCTCTTTGTATATAGAAGTATTGAAGAAGGAATTTCTCCTGTGACAGAAAAAGACTTGAAGAATAGGGATGTAGTGTGAGATCAGCAGATCAAGTCTTGGAAAACTGGTGCTGTCATGTAGGATCTGCACTGAAAGAGGAAGAGATTTACAGTCAGCATATGTGCAATCAACATAAGGTGAAATTATTCAGGTAAAAGAAACACCTCTACATCACAATTAAGAGCCTGTCTGGTTTCCACATAGTTGATATTTAGCTTTTTTTGCAGTGGTCTTTGTTGTAAATAAGGCTGTATTAAGGAATGTATATATTCAGTGGCTTTGTAATCACTTGTTCTAATTGAAAAAAGGGCTCTGTTAGGTGTAGAATATATAAAGTGAATGCCTTCTCTGTGGAGCAACACATTGTTTTTCTGGGATGGAAAGATCAGTATTTAGAGCAACGTTGCCTTTAACCTTGGCTTTTAGGTGTGATGAGCTCTAACTCTCAAGTGTCAGGAACTTTATCTGTGGAAGTTTAATCTTGCTTGAAACCCACATAGTAGCTTACATGGTAGAATTCCACACTATCTTCCCTTTTGCTAAAAGAAATTCCTGTTTTAAACAGGACTAAATGTGAATGTATCTGGTTGATTTCTAGGGAAAAACCTTAGTCCATAGGACACTTAAGATATGTCAGAAATTTGTTGATTAGAATTGAGATAAAAGTCTCTTACATGAATTAATAATGACATTTAGATGAAAACGAAGCAGGAGATTGGGAAGAATAGGCTCAGCTGCTTCCTTTTCTCTGTGTCAAGTACTTCAGGAATGTAGGAATCTAGTACTGTATTTCTTCAGTAATTTATGTTCTCAAAATGTTCATACTAGCTGAAACACTTGCTTTAGTATGGACAGTATGGGTTTTTCCTTTATACTGTGCTATAAGCTCACCATATGCAGTGCTCTCTTCCATTTACTGCTACTGTAACACTGCAGCTTAAGAGAGGAAAAGAGGAGAAGGTTTTGTTGTTAATGCCGGGATAGAGCACGTTTCTAAAATGCTGTTACCTGCTTTTTTGTTTAGGTTTCTACAGATCTTTATAAGGATAGATTGTTTTCTGCAAACTGTGCCTCAAGTGTAAAACTCCAGATTTTGTGAAGCCTGTGCTGCAATGACAATGGATGTTCCTTAAAGCTTTTGTGAGGACATTCCTGTTGTGCCTGTGTTGGCAGGTGACATGTGCACTATATTCCAAGGGCTGCTTCAGGTGATGGATCCTGCCATTCAGGAGGTCTTGTTCCTTAGGGTGTGCTGATGTTTCACCAGTGAATTGGTCCAGTATCAAGTCAGACTGAAAAATGCCAACCCCTCCAACCAAGGAACCTCCTCTGCTCCACTGGACCAGAACTGGGCATCCAGCCTGAAGAACTGCTTCAAAAGAATGTAGATAATTTCAGCCTTCTTCCAGTCAGTAAAGACAAGCTGTTCATAACTTTTGGATTGGGTGATCACCCATTTGGCCTATTTATTGTTCTCTGAGATGTATTAAGATGGCATTTGCCTAAGCCAGGTGAGAGGAGAGAAGGGAAAGGTGTATGGTTTATCAAAATCAGATCCTGTTCTTGAAGGGGTTGAGTGACTGTTAGAACAGCAGCACAGCTTAAATACCTGGATTTTGCTTTTAGGTGTGTTGCAGCCTGACCCAAGGAGCCAGTCTGCAGTTAAAGAGTAGGAGAGGATACACTGAGTGCCTGTTGTTCCTACGACTGTTGGGGATAAATAGCAGGTGTGGAGCTGCTCTTGTCCAGGCTAAGGGTTGTGATGGTGTTGGGATAGGCTCTCCTTCTTTCATTCTGCTAGCACTATGTGCAGAAGTTTGAAGTGAGAGCTGTGGCTACAGTGGTTTGGACTAAATTCATGTGCCAGTTACAATAATTTTACAATCCTTGTGTAGCATGTACTGGGATACCAGTGGCTGCTAGAGCTGGGAGTTGTCTCTGCAGGAGTTTGGTTTTGCTATGGGGCTGGCAGTACTCAGGGCCAAGAGCCCATTGTGCTGCTGATTTTGAAGTAAGCTACTTCCTCAGAAACTACTGTCACTCCCAGAATGTTATTTCCAGGCTTGCTCAGGCATTTTTCCCAACACAAGGATGTATCAATCACACATCACAGAGCACAGATCATGTGTGTACAAGGGACACATCTGTACAGCACTTTTCTAAGAGGTAATATTTAGGACCTTGTTGTTCCAGTGTGCATGTTTCCTTGTGATTTATGATGCTTGTAAATAAGGGAATGTGTTACATTTTTGGAAATTTGCCTTTATGCAGAAGAATTAAAGACTTGAACTTTAAAAATCCTTGTTAGTCTGCTTTTGCAGGTGTGTTGTCAGTTTGATTATAAAAGGAATATGTGGCTTCAGTAGTCCTTTCTTGTTTGTTTTAGGGTGTTTACTTGGTTTGGGTAGTGATTTTGGATTTTTAGTCCTTGCCAAAAGGGGAATAGAGGAGTCTTCAGAGATTAAAATTAGACTCTTGAAGGCAGTTTACAATTCTGGTTTTGTCCAGCCCCTCAATTTTAAGGCATTGTAGCTTAGTGGGAGGGAGCAGCTGAATCCCAGCACCCATTCTGCCATGGAAAGGGGTCCTGCTGGAGAAGAAGGAGCTGCTTGGTGAGAGTGATGGGCTGCTGAGAAATACTTAAACTCATCTTAAGTATTTTATGAGTATTAAGTGCCCTTAAGCTTTTGTCTGTGATGGACTGGGCCTGCAATGGATTTAGGGACACATCCGTAGGATTTTCCAATTCAGCAGTCCTTAAAAGATCTTTGTATATCTTGGTTGAAGATGAGACTAGACATAGCATCACCAATCTGCCTGTGGCAGTTAAATTTTGGGCAGATTTATTCCCTAATCCAGATTCTGTGTGCTTGAACAAGCTGTGGTAGCACAAGGGAGGGAATGAAACAGCAGATGAAGTTTGACGTCTGCTAAAGTCATTTAGCAGACCTCATAGTGCTGCCAGTGGATGTAGAATCATCCTGTGTTCTAATTAGTAACCTGATTAGTCTAAATAGAGCACTCAAAACTGGAATGCAGCCTGTCCATGCACTTGTTTACCTACCCAAGGCTGTCTGACACAGAGCTTGCAAGTGAGGTAAGTGAAGCAGAAGTCTAGCACTCCACCCCCAGTTTTTCCTTTAATTTTACCCAACTTAATTAAATCTCCTCTGCATAAATCTGTGCTCGGTTTATAATTAAACCAAAATATACCCTGAACTTCAGCAGACAAGTTTCAATTTCTCCCTAAAGTGACAAGTATCTTCTCTTGGCATTCTTCCACTGGGAGAATCTCGTTATAGATGATACATTATCTGTGTTTGTGGAAACCATTCTTCACAGCCAGTTGTGAAATGCCAGGGCTTGTGTGTACTTTATTTTGTTTCTAAAACTCCTTTGAGGTCACAGCTGAGGATATCTCCTCCCCTTAAATTCCCACCGTGGTGTGAAACAGCTTTTCTGAAGGATTTTTGTTGCTGACAAGGACAGAAAGATGCAGTGCAGCTGTAATCCCTGAGCTGTGTCCCAGCAGATAGTTCTGCTGGATAAACTGAATTTGATTTTTAGATAGTGCTGTGCTCAAAGTCCATTGTGGCTTCCAGGCTGAAGGGAGGGGAGTTTGTTTGTGCATGTTTTGAACCTCTGCTGTACTTCAAGCATGACCTTGGTTCAAGAACACAGTTCTGTTTTCCATAGTGGTGTGTGGGAAAGGAGGGGTTCCAGCAGAGCAGACTTTTCTGCAGGAATGTGGATGTTCAGGCAGATGCCACACAGATGTGTGTTTGTACAAAATTTACTATAGTAAGCCAGACAACAGGAATTGAATTTTTAAAGTAAAATCTCCTCATGCGTAGCAAGGCTGAAATGTATCTTTATTTAAAAAAAAAAAAAAATCAAAAGCAAATACCACCTGTTATTTTGTGCTCAGAAAGTTTCTCCAAAACCATTGCTGCACTTCGATAGTTGCTTTAATGTTTTAAGCTGATTAGAAAAACCCACCAAACAAATTTTTGTTTGCTACTTCTGCCGTCTGTTTTACCAGATGGAGACATGGTTTAGCCATGGACTTAGCAGTGCCTCATTAATAATGGTTGTACTTGATGATCCCACCTTAATGAACCTGTTATTGTATGGCTTTTTCAACCTTAGTCATCCATTGTAAGGCCAGAAGAAAACCATCTCTCTGAAGTGTCCCACCGGTCTTCAGGCTGCAAATGTATTATTGTTTAACGCTGTTTGTGTTCTGCTGGAGTTCTTCAGGTTGTTTCCAAATTACTGTTCTAAAATGAGTGTATGCCCAGTAGTGGGACCAGCGGGATGTCACTGTGCATGTGTAAGTAAAAACTCCAGAAAGGTCCATGGACCAAGTGACCACCTCGTGTCGTTACCCAACCTTCTTCGCTATTTTTAGGGAATTTAAAGCCACGTCATTGTGAAATTTATGTATTGACTGTGTGGAGTGGGGTTTGAACTGCCACTTGAACTACCCTGTGCGCTTCATGGACTGTACAGCCTTGCCGGGGACCGTCATCCTTCATATTTAAATCGCGGGAATTTGTATTTTTCTTTTTGTTTGGGCTGGATTTTTCCCTGTTGAGTCCCGCCGCCACCGCGCGCCAAAACCGCGCGCCGCCGCGCTCGATTCTCCCGCCAACACGCCCCGGGGGCGGGGCCGGGCGGAGCGGGCTGAGCCATTACCCTGCCGGGGGGGCGGGCGATGTGTGTGAGCGTCTGGGGGCGCGGGGCGGCCGCTGCGCTTTGCCTCTCGCCCCCCCCCCCCCCCCGCACCTATCCCGTGGATGCGCCCCGCGGGGAGGCGGAGCGGGCGTGTCGCTCTGCGCCGGCGGGAGATGCGAAGGGCCTGAGCGGGAAGGCGGCAGCGCTCCCTCGGCTCTGCCTCTCCGCCCGCCTCAGCTGCCCTCGCCTGCCAGTCCGTCACCGCCCGGCTCTCCTTCACCGACCTCCTCAGCTCCCCGCGCCCGGCTCTGCCTGCAGGCCTCCCTCCCGAGGATACCCCGCGCCATGTCCTTCCGCCAGAGGAGCCCGCATGGCAGCACGAAGAGCAGGTAGGGCCGCCGGGCCTCGTTCCCCGCGTGATACTCGGCCCTCGCTCCCCGCCGTCCCGCGGCGGAGTCTCTGAGGGGGTGGGGGGCAGGGGGGAGCAGAGCGGCCGCAGAGCCCCCTCAGAGCGGGCCCGCAGAGCGGCCGCAGAGCCCCCTCAGAGCGGGCCCGCAGCGAGTGGCGTCTCCTCCCTGCGTTTGTCGGGAGTGAAATGGGTAAACAAGCGCGGTCTCTGGAGGAGGTTAAAGCCCTAAAGCCCACCGCGTTCTCGTGTGTCGCTGTGTTTGTCCCCAGCCCTCAGCACCCCCCGCGCTGGGCCCAGGCGCGGAAACGCGGCGCCGATGGGAAGCGGCGGAGGCAGAACGAGCCCGAGTCCTCAGTGTTTGAGGAAAACGAGCCCAGGCCTGAGGACAGCCGGCTGGACAGGTGAGCATGGTGACAATGGCAGCGACTTCCGGCTCTTTTGTTCGCGGGAGCTGTTATACTGAGCCTTCTACTCAGTTTTCCTAGCCCTGCCTGTTTATCAGTCGCTCATCAGCCACAAATAGCTGGTCATAAAGGAGGGAAAAGGATCGAGTGCAGTGCTTTTAGCTTGGAGTCTGTTCGTAAGAGTCAGCATTTTTCATTCTTACCTCTTGAAATATGTCCTTGATAATTTATGTCCTATTTCGTGCTGGTTTACTGCCATTTATCGAGGACTGATACTGTGCAGGCCCATTATGTTTGTACACAGGCTGTACAAACAGTTGTAAAATTGAAGTAAATGACAAAAATCAGTTCTTAGAAATGATCTATTTTGTGTTTCTGAAGAGAGTACAGAGAAGTTGTGTTACATTTCAACACGTTTGTGGGGGGATCCAGTTTTGAGGTCACCCCCTAATGCTGCCTTCCGTGTTTGCCAGCACAGCTAGACTTAAGTATCTTATTTTATATCACATTTTCAGTCTGAGCTATTCATGCCACAGTCTCTTTATCTCTAATCACTTTGATCTGTGGATGGTAGTTGTCCCCACAGCCCACCTAAATGAATCAAGGTTTCTTGAAAATGGGGTAGGTTGTGCCCACCGTTTTCCTTGGCTGAAAAAGCAGGGAACACGTTGGTCAGTGGCACAAGTTACTCCATCCAGAGTAGCTTAAACTAATTCCAGGAAGCATGGTTGAACAGTAGTACAAGGATGAAACTTTACAGATAGTTTCAACATAAATAAGTTAAATACTTTCAACACTTCTGTGTGTCTCCCAGTTTTGAATTGTGCAGACATACTTCCTGGTTTCAGTTTGGATTGAGCTCTGAAATTGTTCTCTTCCTCTGCCGAAACTACTTTTTGTTTTTGCCAATCCAACCATGCCAAATTCAATTTCTCAAAAGTAAAGAGGATCAGGATGGAGGCTGGGTCATCTTGATAATCACAGCACAGGTACAGAATCAAACGAATATAAAAAGGTATCACATCCAGTGTTGAGGAAAAAACTCAGCAGCTGGAACCAACTGGGATTCTGCTGTTTGTTCTCTGCTGTGGGAGAGCAATAACAGAATGTGGCCTGTATTCTCTGGAAATCTAGAAATTGGTGTAAGCAAAAGTTAAAAATCCTTGGAGCTTGAACAGATCTTTGCAGAGGGACCTGTACTGTTTGCTATGGATTTTTAATTCTGCCAAGTTGGTAACTGGGTTTCATCTAAAAATAACTTTTAGTTTGAATTTAACAGACCACTCAAAGTTGTGCAGACCAGTTTAGGAGCAGGGAGGGAGTTGGAGCTGCTTTTAGTGCAGGTGGATCTAATTCCCTGACCCCAGGGGACACGTTTGCACAGAATCCTGGAAAGTCTCCGGAGAATTTGCAGACCTGCTGAAAAAGCTCTGCTCTGTAGATGCAGTTTTGAGTTTTACTTAGGGAAAATTGGTCGTCAGGAAGACAGGAGAAACACTGAATAATCTGAATGCAGGCAGCAGTAGATGGCTGGGAAGAGGTATGGGCATTCCCCACAAGAGTCTGAACCTGCTGAATGTGGCTGCAGCAAAGTTGTGAAACCAGTTTGCAAAGTCAGAGCAAATCTCTTTCCCAGCTAAAACAGGACATTTTTGTGCCTTTACCTTCTCTACTAGGCATATATTTATATGGTGCAACTCCTGGTGTTATCATGTAATTTTAATTAATTAGCTTTGCACTTAATTCTGTGCTCCAGATTTTCTCTTATACAGCTAATGAATCTGCAGTCATCAAAGAATAAATCATTGCTAAGTCATTTAGTGGAGTGAGAAGAAGTGAGTAAATGAATAAAGTTGGTATTTCTTGTACCATTTTCTGAAGAACACGAGCTGGAAGTTACTGAAAGCATGGGCTGGGTTATCAAGCTACAGTGGTATGGTTCTATAGATACCTGCATCAATTTTAAGAAAACCCAACACAAGCCACACAGCCTCAAGGTGGAAGTCACAACTGATGCTTAATTTTACAGTGATAAAATGTTAATAAAACATAAGGTTTTTACAGCCATTTTGAGTATTGTAAATAATTATGTTTAAGGGATCAAGCTGTGAGTGGGGGAGGTGAATACAATAACCCAAACTTTTAACATAGAGCCTTAATCTTCTTTCTAGTTTTACAACACCAGAAGGTCCTGGACCCCTTTCCAGATGTTTAGACTGGGCAACTGCAGTGGAAGAAGATGAAATGAGGACCAATGTTCACAAAGAAATTGCAAGGTACTCCTGGGTGTTTAAGATGGAGTGGTAAAAGGAAGAGAAATGGAAGTTGTCTTGTAGAATCTGTTTCAACTTGTATTTTTAACTTCACTATTGTAGTAAAATCAGGCCATCCCTCTGCTGCTTTTAGATCAGCTTTGGGTTAAGTCCTGCAAGAATGTCATAGGATACTCTCTGGAGATTGGATGTGTATCCCTAAATATCTCCCTTTTGGAAGAAGCTTTTCCTGAATCTCTTAGATTAAAATACGCTCTAACTAATGACTGCTTTTTCATATCATCAGTATGAGAAGTTGCTGTAGGAAAGAGAGTCAGGAAAAAAAAAATCCTTGTGTTTTTATTTTTTTAAGGGAAAAGTGAAACATCCATTTAATAGTGAAAAATATCTGCACTGTCTGGTGTGCTGCTGCTTTTCTGAAAAGTTAATTCAGCTGTGAGCTGTGACAGTGCAGGCTTCATTCTTTGTGTACATAATTTCTTAAAACTGATTTGAATTCTTACAGACACAGAAGAAAACTCCTGATAAATGAATTTTCAAGAGAAAGGAAGTCCTCCTCAGGAAGGTAGGTTAAATTTCTAGCTTAGCTGAGTAAAATCTTGAAAATAGAATTTTCATTGTACAATGTTTATTAAAACACATGGTTTAAAATAGTTCATCTCAAGTCTGTTCCAACACCATGGTTTAGTAACACCCCGAGCATTTGTTTGAAAAGTTTTAACATGTTTATTTATAGCCTTTTACAAGTGGGTTTGTTTGAATGTCACTGGTTTTCTAGTAGTCCCAAACCTGCAATGTTTTTTTTCTGCAGTTCTGATTCAAAGGAGTCCACGGTGACAGTAGAACTTGAGACAGATGAGGTGGTTTTGATGAGAAGACAAAAACAGATAAACTATGGAAAAAACACAATTGCATATGATAGATACATTAAAGAAGTTCCTAGGTAAGCTGCTTGACTTTCTAAAAAACTAAATGTCCATCTGCAAGTCATACCTGTTCTTTATAAGCACATTAATGTACTAAACTTGGTATCCAATACACATTTTAATAGAAGGCATCTACAAATTAAACTTTTAAGACATTTTTGAATTGTTAGGTCACACTAACAGTCAACTTGAGGTGTGGTTTAAGGTTTTATTTTAATGAGTCAGTATATAAGAAATACCTCATGCTGCTGAAATGGAAATGAAAGTTCTTTTGGATGTGCTTGTCAATGAGAGGAAATGAAACTGCTTTTTGCAGTCAGTTTTCTCATGAGTTAGCTACAAGACAAAATGGGCTACAGTTGCTGTTGAGTTTGGAATTCAGTTTTCAGACCTAGAAATGATAATTCTTTATTATTATTATTTCATTTGACTTAAAGTCAGAAAAACTAAGAAGTTCATATGGAGCTGGCAAACCTTTGCTTGAGTGCTGGAATTGCACATTGGTCTTTCCTCATAAATAATACAATCAGTTAACATTTAAAGCTATGTTATGTATGTGTGAATAAAGCACTGATAATTTTTCATGTCTCATATCTGAATAGATGCCATCGTATCCCAGGAGTTCATCCCAGAACTCCAAACAAATTTAAGAAGTACAGCCGTAGGTCTTGGGACCAGCAAATCAAACTGTGGAAAGTTGCTCTGCATTCCTGGGATCCTCCAACTGAAGGAGGATGTGACCTGCAGGAAATGTACGTACAGACTGTTCAAAATGCTGTTATAGAAATTATGATGTGAAGTCTCATGTTTAGGAGATAAACACCACCCCCAGCATAGTTCTTTTTGAGACAAGTCAGAGCTGAATGTTTTTCCTAATTATTTATCCACACTTGGTGCTGTTCAGTTCCTTCTCAGTCAAAATATCCAATAGCTTCCTGGTCCTTTCCCAGTATCCTTGGAAGGGCATACATACATATCCCTCACTTTGTTAATGGTGAAAGCAGAGCCAGTTCTGTGCTACTCTGTAAAATAATCACCACACCATCAACAGGAGCCAATTCTTTCAGAGCTGCCTTCAAATTATCTGGCAGGAGCAGTGCTGGAGAGCTCTCACTAATGGCAGGTCTCCTGGATATTGAGCTTGGACCAGTCCAGTGTACAGGAACCTGCCTCCCTCTTCTCACTTGCTAGGTCAAGAACTGAGGTATAAAATGTTTCTTCTCCAGCGAGGGAGAATTGTGAACTCATCCCAAGCTCAAAGCACGGCCACAAGTGTTCACAGCCCAAGCTCCAGAAGATGTAGAGTGATGCCCTAGTTATTTTCCTCTGTAGAAAGCAATACAGCTGATCAGCAACGTGTGACATAAAACTGGCAGTAGAGAATGAAGGGGACAAAGATGGAACCTAATTCCTCACCAGGCAGTTTTTTGTTAATAGTGATTTTCCTTAATGGAATTTCACAACTACTGATTTTAAAACTACTGCAGAGCAATAGGATCTAAAAGAAAAGCTTCCTTTTAGCTTCCCTCTACTTGCTATCAGTGTGAGGGGAGTTAGTACTTCAGCCAGATCCCTGCTGTGTGTGCTGGTGTTGAAATGCTGCCTTCAGATGCTGGGGACTAGGTCTGTGTGTAATGGATATTAAATCTTTGCAAAACAGATGGATGAAAACCTTGTCTGGGAAAAAAAAAAAATCATTCCTCTCCTGTAACATTTGCTTTGAGGCATTGCTTGGGCACTGGGTTTTTGTCTTTGACAAGCTGCAGTATTCAGTCTCAAGTCTTTTAATTCAGTCCTTGGCCATTTTGGCAGTACTGAGCTGTCCTGCAGTTCTGTTTGCTCTCCTCAGTTTGCCACCACTGTCCCTGTGGTCTCTGTAGGTCTCTTTGCTCTCCTCTGGTCATTTTTTTTTTCCAGAACTACACAACAAAATGCATCTTAACACTAAAAAATCAATTTATTTTATGCTATATTCTTCTAAATGATTTTACAGTTGTCCTGTTGACCTTGGTGAGATGGAGACAGAATCTGTTGGAAGCAATTCTACTGAATCTCAAACAAGCTGTCAAGAAAATGATGTAAGCATATCTATTATTTGCATAACTATTTGCTGATAATTGGCTCATTGCTTAGAAATATATCCAGAGCAGCCTGAATACCTCACAGATCCCATCATCCACTTTGTTTAGGGACTGTTTGTAAAGCTGAGCAATTTTGAAACTCAGGTATTTTCCAGCTATAGCCATGATCTGTCTTATGTAGTCTTGGGTTTAGAGAATTAGAACTTAAATTATATTCTCAAAATAAAAATATCCCATTTTTCATAGCCTACAAAAGAAAATTTATTTGTTGCAAGTAAATCAGTTATGGACTGTAATGTACTATATTACTTTAGATTGCAATATCTAATATTAAGATAGGGTGGAATTTCCTTGTCACACAGAAGTAGGTTCCTTTTATGTCCAGAAAGCACTTGGTGCAGCTGAGCAGTAAAGATCTAGGAATGCTTTCTTACTGGATTTATTTTTCTAATATTAAATCTGTATTATGCTTTAATGTTTGCATATGTAGGTCCTTGTTACACTTGCAAGGTGTCTTCAAATGTGGTTGGATGGGCAGAAGCCTACATCTCTTAATATTAAGACTAGCATTGAGTTTTTATGGCTTTTAAAGCATTTGTAAGCCTTTGTCATAGTATGGTCTAAATGAATTACAGAAGTTAATTGAATTACCTGTACTAATAACCTTTACTTAACTAGTAATTATTGATTGCCTTTCCCTTCCAGGATACCTGTTCTGGCACTCCCACCAAAGTTAGACATGTTGACTATCAAGCAGAAGGAGAATTTGACTTGGAAGTGTGTTTGAGTGAGCCACTGAAAGAATTTGATACTGTGAGTTAAATAGTCTTGTGCAACCTGTTTTAGAGAAAGTTTCTTTTAAATTTGAGAGGTTAGCTTGATCCATAACCTGTTAATAGTAAGAAACCTTAAGCAAAGTTGAAGACTGTTCTCAAAGCTGTGATTGGTCCAGGTATTCTCCAGACCAAACTTATATAAAATTGCAATTAAGTTGTGTGACTTCTTGTTAACTTTTAATTTATGTATATCAGATTTTTTTATAAAACTTTTCAATAGTAAAACTAGCCAATGGCAGTGCTATCCTCTAGTAATTATAAATAGCACATCAAGATCTTACCAATTTCCCCCACTCCCTCCCCCACTGTGAACATGATTTCAGTTGTCCACCTGCAGATCAAGAGCCAAGTTGGGGTTTGTGTTTTTTTTTTTTTTTTTAAATGTTTCCTTGCTTTTATGTATGGCTCTTGTAACACTCCTGACCTGAAGAAATTTAACTCCCTTACCTTAAAAAAACCACTTTTTTTTTTTGCGAAAATATTTCAGAAACAATTGGAAGTTTAATACCCTCAAGAAATTGGAGGTCAACATGGGAAAGTCTATGCAATAATATTGGCTTTTTTTTAGAAGTAGTAGCCTTAACTTGAAATTTGTAAATAGTCATCAGTCATTTATTAATGCAGTCAAGAAAACAATGTCTAGAGAAAGTGCTTGATTCTTTCAGTTTTCTGGTTTTAAATGTAAAACTGTTGTAAATGTTACCAACTGTACAGATTTTCTGCTGAGAGCAGTTCGTGTTTCTATTGCTTTTGCGTGGGATGTTGCTGGAAAATAAACAGAACTGCATTTACTTTTACATATGACTCTTCATTTCCTGCTAGCAGTGCTCTGGCATAATGAAATGCAGGGAAATGCTGAAAGCCAAGTGTCAGATATTGGTACTAAGCCAGGATAAATCTGTATTAGCACCATCCTCTGACTTTGAGGAGACCTTAAAATCTATTTGCATCGCCACCAGAGTGAATTTGAGACAATTCTGTTTAGTAGATGTCCATTAGCTGGTTGCCAAGTTCTGTTCTCTAGGAAAAACTGCTAGAAGAGCTGGGTGAACAATGCAGGACATCTTTTACAGTCACCTCACCTGGTTTTATCTCTTAAAATGGAATTCCTGGGTGTTGATGTTACACCCCTTAAACTCCTCAACTCAAGGGAGTATCTTAACTAGTAATATTGGTTACAGCTGTCTGATTTGTTAGGCACTTTGGAAATCAGGTAACTTCATCTGATGGGGAAACTTCCAAGAGGAAGCAGTGGCATTGGGATAAGGTTGGTGCTAAGCTCTGATGTAAAGGAGACAGCCTTCCTCACATGTATTTTTTTCAGAAAAAGCAACAAAATGGTAGTTGCTTTCTGCCTGGACTGAGCACCCTCTGTAATTCCCAGGTTGCTTTTCTCATGTCCCATTTTCTGGCCACACTGTTGCTGGTTGTTCTCAAGTATTTTTGGTGTGTCAGTCTGTAGCTGAGTATCAGAACTGCCAGTAGAACTGGGTTCTTTAAAAGAAGTTTTTCTATCCTACTGTAGCTACCCAAACAGGTTGGATCAGTGGGATATTCAGGAGATTGTTTAGAGGCTTCTGAGGGTAAGGTTACTTACACCTGGTTTTGAAATAAGGAAGCACATGGGTTGGGACAATCTCTCCAGCACAAATGCAGGCTGGGGGGATGAACAGATGGAGAGCAGCCCTGAGGGGAAGGACTTGGGGATGTTGGTGGGTGGATGAGACACTTTAAGTGACTCAGCCATGTGCACTCACGGCTCACAAAGCCAGCTGTGTCCTGGGCTGCACCAGAGCAGCGTGGCCACCAGGGGAAGGGAGGGGACTCTGCCCCTCTGTGAGGCCCCACCTTGAGCACTGCATCCAGCTCTGGGCTGGAATGTGGGGAAAACAGTGCGAAGAACACTAATCCCTGGGCAGGGTTCAGGCAAACAACTGGGATGCACTTCTCTGTTATAACAGAGCACACAACAAATAATTCTCCTTTGGCAAGTGTCTTGAGGTGCTTTTAAATTTCTGCAGTTGCTTCTCAGTGGTTAGTCCATAATGTGGTATATAATTTGAGATTAATCCAACTAACCTGCTACTACTCAGATAAGGTTCTCAGCACAGGCCTTGGGATATGACCCTCCTGCACTGCCTGTGCCCTGCCCTCTGAATTGTGCCCTCCTGTACATGACCCTGCCCTGCTGAGATGGGTATTGCCTCTCACTGTGCTCACTCTGTTCCATCTCTGCTCTGTTCTGTCACCTTTCAGTGTGCTCTGTCACTTCTGCTTTACACTGTAAGGTTCTATGACACTGTTTTGGGGTGATTTTTTTAATTTATCCTTTGTTTTCCTGTCGTGTGCTCCAGCTTGCTTACAGATATCTTAATTCTGTTGATCTCATTAAAAGCAATCTGAGGTGCTGTTCAGCTTTCAGTTCTGTGCAACACACTCACCCAGGAACCAGGTGGGTATGATCCAGACTAGAAGTGTAGCTGGTCTGTGTTCAGTAGCCCTTTGTTGAACAGGCTCAGATTTGTTACTTTTTCCTGAAGGAGCTGGCCATCCACAGTCATGTCTTCACTACAACAACTCCCCTTTGTCTCAGTTACTTAGATCACTTTGTTTTTATGGTTGGTATTTAAAGAGAACACTCAGTTTGGATGTTTTTCCAAAGGTCATGAACACCAAATTGGAAAAAAGAACCAGTTTTTTGGAATAGAATTAAGCCCTCTAGTGGTTGGTTAAATGTGGGCTAACCCCATTACTTTAGGGCAGTATCTGGTAATAGAGGAATCTTATGGAAAAACAATGTCCATATGTTCAGTTGTGCAGAGTTGCATGTAGTGGAGTTTGCTTCAGATGGAGAGCAAGCAAGTACTGCTGTCAAATTTTAGCCTTATTAGGTTAAATTCATCTAAAAATAAAACTGAGCAGGTTGTTCTGTAGGCAGCAGAACCTGTCAACCCTGCTTTTTATAGACCTGTGCCTTCTGGTTTGTGTTTCTCTTACTCCCTTCACACCAAGCCCTGTCCCTTTCAGCATCCTCATGCCATGCCTAGCTGACAGTCGTGGCTGTGGCTGATTTAAAGCTCCATCTGTTTTGGCTGGGCCATTGGTACATGTGTGTGGGTAGGGTGGCAAGCAGAACATTAAAGAGCTGAGCTATCCCAGCTTGTCCTTCACTTGGGCATTAATTGGGTCTTCCTTCATCACTCAGCTGTTGTCACATAAACCATAAGGGAACATATTTACCTTTCAGTACCTGGACAGCCAGTTCAAAAATTAGAAGTGACAGGACAGAGATTTTGGAAAAGACTTGCCAGTACCATAATTTAATGCTCCAAGGAACTCAAGCTAAAACCAGCTTTCTTCCATGAATCCATTTTTAAGTCCAAAAATACCATTCAAACAACTTTCTGTTCGTGCAGATATTTACTGGAGTTATTCTCAAGATTTTCTGTTTTACTGTGTTCCCAGTGTAAAGAAGAGCAACTACATCTACCTGAGGCTGGATCTGTATGTAAACCTGGGGGATCAGGCACTTATTTATCAAAACTAGGCTAGGAAAAGACCCCTTTCAAGAGAATTTTGACCTTACTAGAAGTTCTTGCTCTTCTGTGTTTTCTTCTATATGGTTTCTCATAATGCGAGAAGATTGGTTGCTAGCTGTTGAATACTAAGTTTGAGTGCTTCCTGACAACTAGAGACAAATTTGCCAAAATATTATATAAATAGTTAAGAGAATGAAGTTACTTCGTGAAGTGTCAAAAATCCATTCTACTTTCAAGGAAAACAGTGTAGTTAGAATGTAATGTATACACTTTAGTTAGAGAAAGTGGTAATGCTGAGCAGAATTTATTCCAGTTGTGCACTGTTTAGTTTTGTGGCATCTGGGTAATACTTAAATGTAAGGAACCAAGATTTAGCAACTGCCTCTGGTGGCCCCCACTGCATCTTTTGATTACCAGTCCTGTTCACTCTGAGCTTGTCACTTACCTCTTGGATTGTGTTCAAGCACAAGAGAAAACTAATTTATTCAAAAAATGCTGATTCATACACTCAAAAAATAACTTCACTTTGAGTGGAAATTTGGAACTTGTTTTGTGGGTTAAAGTGGGGCCCAGCTGTCTGTGTTGGGACCTTTCTATCTGTCCAAGTGTATTGAGAAAGTTTCTGGGAGGTACAGGAGTGGCTTTAATTATTAGCAAAAACAATGTTCCCTTTTGTGTTTCTTTAGAAAGGGGCTGTTCCATTTCTGCTGAGAAATACTTTGTTTTCAGAAATATGAGCGCCATATAGAGAGGAAGATTTGGGCCTGCTCTTTCATTCCACTTTCATGTGCTGGAATCAAAGATACTCTGGAGCACTGCAGAGGGCAGTAAAAGTGCATGTTTAATTACAGGCACACAAAAGGGAGCTCTGAGTTGCTTTATATTTGTTGTAAATGCCAGGAATCTAATTATACTTACTGATTCTGACCTCAGGAGCAACCCATAGTCCCAATAAAGCCCCTGCAAGTCTGTCATCTTTCACTGTTCTTTCCATTTCCAGTTTCACTTGATCTTAAGCCCATTATTACAAAGAATGGAAGATAATAGTAACTTAACAGCAGACAGAGGAAAAATGGACTTCAGGAGGGAGAAAAAGTCCTCCTGACAGACAGTATGAGCCTGCTTGCATTTAAAATCCTCAGTGATCTACAGTGGAAGTATCTGAAAATGCTTATTTTAGTTGTTTGAGCTTCACTTTTGTGAACAACAGAAAACTATTTTTTCCTGAGGGGTTAAGATTTCCCAGGGAAAACTAATTTCAGGATTTTATCCACAGCTGACTAGCTTCTGAATATTCCTTGACATGTGTCAGAAAGTGTGTCATACACCTACCAAGCCCTCACTGCTCTGAAAGTATTGCTGTCTGAGCTCAAATTCCACCTTGTAGCTGGAGTGTTGGATGTGGAATCGTAGCAGGGAATCAGCAGCAACTGAAGGGAGCGTGTTGGTGAGGTTACCTCGTGTGTGCACAGGAAAAGGAACACAGAGAGAGTCAGTCCCTCCTGGAGACTGCTCAGAGCAGCTGAATGTTGAATTGCAAGGATATGGCAAAGCCAGAATTGATAGGTCTATCAGGAATAAAATGTCGTTTTGCTGGGCCCCTGCACTACAGCACTTATCTTGAAAAGAAAAAGACAAAAAATTAAGCCAGCCAGGCTTATCTAGAAGCAGACTCATGCTTCAATATGCTGCTAAAATTTCTGGAACAATGTTCTCCAATGATAAGACTCGTAAGAAATGTGCAGTATTGATTAACAAAGAATGGCCTGATAGTGCCTAGAAGAATTTGATACTTCATGACCTGTCAATTTACCAAAATAATAAATTATTATTTTAATGATATTTGAGAATAAAACTCCTTCTTCTCATTCTTATGAGCAACAATCTTGATGCTAGACCATGTGTAAGGCACAGAGGTAAGGCTTAACCTGATTCTTAATCTATTTTTAGTGGTTTCTGACCATTCCTTAGAATACTTGTAAAGAAACATTCTGATTTTGTCATGTTGCCCTCCCAATAGTAAATTTAGATACATCAATTATTGCAATTCAAATATATATTTATTTAATATCTATATAATATATAGATATATGTAATATTTTTTAAATCTTCTGAATTGTTGACAGAAGTGCTTTGAGTAGGAGTGGATCCCATTATTTCTCTGAATTATAATAATGCCATAGACTAAGTGAGACCTAGTGCAGTTTTAGTGTTGGGAACTGAAGGGCTGGAT